ATGAGATATGCAAGTTTTCTTTGGGTCGAATGTGTTAAAACGCTACAGCGATCGTGTTAATTTCACATTGAACCCATATGAAGGATCTGATAATCCTAAATTGCACAGTAGGATTAACTGGTGTATTCAACAGAAAGACTAGATAAGCTCACATCAGCTGAAACCTGTCCAGAAGTTATTGCCTGAAATATGTTAGTCATTATTTCATCATGGAGATGCACGTGTAGTTTCAATTTGACAATTCACGATCTCATGTCTTTGAAAATTGATTTATATGTCCAAACCGTGGCCAGACATTTGGTCGAAAAAGTACAAGTAAAAATAAGAAGCAATACCTTAATATGCGCTTCTTATAATTGGACGATTCCAAAATTTGTTATAATTCTGCTTATGATCCAAATTTTCAAACTATTAAATTGGATTACATCCAATTATTACCGAATTTCAAGTGATAAAATTAAGGCTAATCAAAAGAAAAAAACAAAACAAAAAAACGAAAAATTATAAGTTTTTTTTTGTTTTTTTTTCCATAAGTCAATTCACCCCAAGCAAATCGGAAGTGCCACTAGCACGCAAGGGGTTACAGAGGATTGAGAACAAGAATAAAGAGGCGTGTTTGAGGAAAGAATACAGAGCAGGATGAGAAGGTCAGGGTGTCAGATGTCGTTTGACATTTCACTTGAATATTTGATTATAGTCATCGTTGAAGCAAGTAAGGGGAAGTGAGTTCGACAGACGGGAAGTGCGAGAGAAGAAGCTGTTTGAGTAGAAGAGACGGTTATATTTAACAGTTTTGACAGTGAAAGGGTAGGACAGAGATGAGAGTCGGGTAGCTCGCATAAATTCATGTCGTCCGGGAACCAGCGAAAGTAGCTCGTCGGAAGAGTTGCCCTGAAAATACTTATAGAAGAGACAGAGGGAGGCCACGGCAAGTCTGTTAGATAGCGATTGTAGACTAGATGCCAGATCAGGACCTATCACCTATCATCTAGCATTTTCGTCTTTGGATTTTGTCGAGGACCTCGAGACGTCTAGCGGGAGCAGCAGACCATATATGACTGCAATATTCCACCCAAGGACGGACGGTTTATTTATACAGTAATTAAATATATAAGACCAATCCATGTCACTTCAAAGGAGCTAACAAATCCTGATAGAATATCAGTTTCATCATCTAATGATAAATCTAATTCATTGAAGGTGTTCATAGCATCAATTGGTACAAAAGCCAAAGATTAAACACTTCACGTTGATTGCATTTCTTAAATAATTATACTAAGTCCGTAGTCATGAGCGCTGTATTTCTCTCCACAATTTAAGTTAGATTGCACTCATTAAATAAATTAAATATCGAATTTAATGCTGAAGAAGGTTCAATCCACGCATTCTTTATAAGTTAAAGAAGGTCAACACATTACTCTTTTTTCTCATAAAAATTACGATAAAGTGTGTGACATGGGCACACCACTACATTGTCGGCAGAAATGTCCCTCGGGGTAATGTCAGAGTATATATATATATATATATATATATATATATATATATATATATATATATATAAATAAAATGGTGGTGTAATTGTTGCAAGCTTGTCTCGATAGAACAATTACGGCTGAGTAGTGAGTTCAATCCTTACTGGCTGCCCTTACTTTAGGTTATTGGTACATCCAAGCTACGCTTGGAAAATTATACATATATAATCAACACCAAATTATATATCTTACTGTTCTTTTCTTTTTATGAGATATATTAATTGATTTAAAATGTTTTTTTTTTTCGCAAAAAATGGAAGCTTAATGCCCTGAATTTAATTTTGTAATTAAATTAAAGACATTAGTTCCATTTCATCCCCAAGCGAATTTTGGAGTAACTTTTTAAAATTACTAGGTTTTATATATATATATATATATATATATATATATATATATATATATATATATATATATATATATATATATATATATATATATATATAATATATAAAATAAAAGAAAGAACAATAAGATACATAATCCGGTGTTCTTATGAATATTTTGATAAAAAAGTGCTCAATGTAAATTTACAGAGCATAAATATTATAAATTAACTGATTTAAAAATGTGGCTTCTTCGCTAAACAGGAATTACCATTTTTCAAAAAACGAAGCTTAAAAACTTCAAATTTAATTATATAATTAAATTAAAAACATTAGTACTGTTTTATCTTCAAGCGAATTTTGGAATAATTTTTTAAATTTACTGTTTTAAACACACATACAATTCATAATTTTTTGTATGTGTGTGTGTGAATTTTAAACTCCATATTTTTTTTCCCGATAATCAGGCCCCTAGAAAAAAAATTCTCAAAAACACATACGTGAATATTCAAGTTAAACAGCTCAATGTTGATTTCTGTTGAAAGTATATCGTTATAGATCTGAGATATTAAAAAATGCAATATAGTGTTCTTTTTCATGGTTTAAACATACCACATTCTTTCATTACTAAATTATTAACCTTTTGAAATCTGACTCCATGATGGGTACGGTGTGTGCTCTTTCACACTGCGGATAGTATGCAGTCCGCTCGGGTTCAGAGAGTTAAGAGCAGATAAATTGAAATAACCGTGTTGTAACCGTAAGGGAGTCGAAGATAATATAATTCTCAGTATACAAGAGAGGGCTGAAAAGTCCATAGGCTGATTATGAAGGAATCGTACTAAATTAGCGAAATCTTGCGGGCATGAATCTTAACTGTTATTTCCTTCCATGTAAACTGGCATCTGATTGTTTAAAGAATACTTCAAAAGTAACTTGTAGTGATTTCTCTTGATAATGAATAAAATTTGGTATCGCGGTTTTATCAAGTTTCTGCAGAAAATGATTCTAGAACCCAACCTAAGGAGATTATGCTGACTTTGTTTTAAATTTAGGGATGGTGTTCCATGTTTACCAACAGTGCAAATGGGATCAGTTGAATTTAGGAGGGGAAATGGGATGTCTTGAATATGCCCCAAGGTCTGGACGTCCTGCATCTGCCACCATCAACTAAAACATTGATCTTGTTCCTTATATAGTCAATCACGTGTTATTCGTTACTATCTATCAAAAAGCCAATGCTATTATCATATCATGTGAGAGAGTTGGAAATGTTCGGCACTATGAACTTAGCATGACGAAGATCGATTAGTGCTATATCTTCTGACACCTGACCAAAAGCGTACCATACTGATCACAGCGCGGGAAAATCTGACATTTTTCTGAGGCAGATCCAACTGGTTTCATTGAACATTTTCTGCCTTAAGAGTGTTGGGTTCATCACTTCGGGCTTGAGAGAAATAGATAATCCATGCAGTGGAAATAGATAATCCATGCAGTGGAAATAGATAATCCATGCAGTGGAAATAGATAATCCATGCAGTGGAAATAGATAATCCATGCAGTGGAAATAGATAATCCATGCAGTGGAAATAGATAATCCATGCAGTGGAAATAGATAATCCATGCAGTGGAAATAGATAATCCATGCAGTGGAAATAGATAATCCATGCAGTGGAAATAGATAATCCATGCAGGAAATAGATAATCCATGCAGTGGAAATAGATAATCCATGCAGTGGAAATAGATAATCCATGCAGTGGAAATAGATAATCCATGCAGTGGAAATAGATGTTTCAAAAGTAAAGTTCGTTTGGTATCGTGGTTTTATCAAGTTTCTGCAGAAAATGATTCTAGAACCCAACCTAAGGAGATTATGCTGACTTTGTTTTAAATTTAGGGATGGTGTTCCATGTTTACCAACAGTTCAAATGTGATCAGTTGAATTTAGGAGGGGAAAGGGGGTGTCTTGAATATGCCCCAAGGTCTGAACGTCCTGCATTTGCCACCATCAACTAAAACATTGATCTTGTTCCTTACATAGTCAATCACGTGTTATTCGTCACTATCTATCAAACATAGGCATCATCTTTCCTGCAAATAGCAGGAAAGATGATGCCTATGTTTTTGTTTTTTATGCAAAAGACATTGTGTTTAAACACAATCTTCAAAAGGGCCTCACTATCAATGGTGATTACTATATCAATTTCCTGGGACAGTTACAAAAGACAAATACGATCAAACGCCAAGGAAAGCTGACAAAAGGTGGCTTGTTTCATCAGGAGAATTCTCCACTATACATAACTTTAATTTTAGTTGTTCCCATATTGTATTAATTTTTATGCTTGGTCGGCTCAGGTGATTTCTGTGGCCTAGCATATGTGCTGATTCCTTTAGTTTACAAATTTTCCAATGGGGTTCTTTGCCTGTGATCTCAACCTGATATCAAAGAGGGCGGTGATCTCCCTTTTCTCTCCATATGTGGTCAGCCACACCTGATTTTTCCACTTCCCTTCGTGTTACAACTTTCTGGTGTTCTTGAAGCCCCTACCTTAAGGGGGCGGCCTTTCTCCCCTTTATATTTCTTTCCGCGGCTGCACGGGATAGACTACACACAATCTTTAGTCAACTTCCACCTCTATAGGTGGGTCTTACTCGGGAGAGATATCTGAGAAGTGTCGTCCAGCTTTTGAGAGGAGAATTAACAGGAGATAAATGAAAACTGACATCCATTATATATGGCACGTGGAACTAGAACGGTCTACCCCAGTAAGCGAAATAAAGGGTTCAGTTCGACATTCCAACCACTTTAAGAAAGCCGGGGCCTACAACGGCCGAAACGTTGTAATATTGCGACAAAGATGAGGACAATTGTCCGAATAATGTAAGTAGTGTACATAATACCTCATCTCAGAAATATAGGCAGATCTTTATTGATCTTAAATAAAAAGTGTCAGTCTTCTTTTGTTCCACTTGGTTCTTTGAAAGTTTTCAAAGATAGACATTTTTTTTTGTTTGGTTTACTGATAAAAGAAAAAGGAAGAAAAAAAGAAAAATAAACATTAATTTTTGCGGAAAAGAATTATTGCAAACGCATAACATTTTACCCGACAAAGCTGTCTGATAGATCAATCAACATATTCGATGTCTATTCCTCGACTAGGGTATCGACTAAAATCAATATATCTCAGATAATTGAACTGTGCCTTCGTTTACTGAAATCAATAACCTCTGCCTTCCTGCAGACGCTGACGCGAAACTCCCTTCGGCACGATTTTGTTGATTCGAAACTAAAAATAAAGAAAAAATTGATCTGAAAACAATGAAGCAGAGAAAAAAAAGGAAAGAAAAATATATCTTGAATTATCTTGAATTTATTCTTTATTATCGCTTAGTGACCATCTTCTTCCGGAGATAACCACATTAATTCTCGAGTTACGTCCTACGATAATTGAAGAGTTTTACTTTCTGGTAAATATAAGCAGATCGATTTTTTTTTCTCTCTTTTTGAGTTGTTGGAAAGTTATTTGCTGACATCACTTTAAGTGTGTAATCATGAATTAGTCTCTCGTTTCGGGTTTATAAATCGGGGGAAATAACTTCGTGCGATGGATAAATTGTCGTCCAAAATTCTGGCGAAGTGAATGTCAAGCAATCCAGCATGGCGTTTCCAAATTTCTGGTGGAGTGAATGTCAAGCAATCATGGCGTTTCCAAATTTCTGCGGAGTGAATGGCAAGCAATCCAGCATGGCGTTTCCAAATTTCTGGTGGAGTGAATGGCAAGCAATCCAGCATGGCGTTTCCAAATTTCTGGTGGAGTGAATGGATATCCAGCATGGCGTTTCCAAATTTCTGGTGGAGTGAATGGCAACAATCCAGCATGGCGTTTAAATTTCTGGTGGAATGGCAAGCAATCCAGCATGGCGTTTCCAAATTCTCTGGTGGAGTGAAGCAATCCAGCATGGCGTTTCCAAATTTTGTGGAGGAATCAAAATTCTGGTGTTTCCAAATTTCTGGTGGAATGTCAAGCAATCCAGCATGGCGTTTCCAAATTTCTGGTGGAGTGAATGGCAAGCAATCCAGCATGGCGTTTCAAATTTCTGGTGGAGTGAATGGCAATCCAGCATGGCGTTTCCAAATTTCTGGTGGAGTGAATGGCAAGCAATCCAGCATGGCGTTTCCAAATTTCTGGTGGAGTGAATGGGCAATCCAGCATGGCGCTGGTGGAGTGAATCCAGCAATCCAGCGTTTCCAAATTTCTGGTGGAGTGAATGGCAAGCAATCCAGCATGGCGTTTCCAAATTTCTGGTGGAGTGAATGGCAAGCAATCCAGCATGGCGTTTCAAATTTCTGGTGGAGTGAATGGCAAGCAATCCAGCATGGCCAAATTCTGGTGGAGTGAATCAATCCAGCATGGCGTTTCAAATTTCTGGTGGAGTGAATGGCAAGTAATCCAGCATGGCGTTTCCAAATCAAGCAATGCGTTTCAAATTTCTGGTGGAGTGAATGGCAAGCAATCCAGCATGGCGTTTCAAATTTCTGGTGGAGGAATGGCAAGCAACCAGAATGTTTCCAAATTTCTGGTGGAGGAATCAATCCAGCATGGCGTTTCCAAATTTCTGGAGGAATGGCAAGCAATCCAGCATGGCGTTTCCAAATTTCTGGTGGAGTGAATGGCAAGCAATCCAGCATGGCGTTTCCAAATTTCTGGTGGAGTGAATGGTTTCCAAATTTCTGGTGGTGAATGGCAAGCAAATCCATGGCATGCAATCCAGCATGGCGTTTCCAAATTTCTGGTGGAGTGAATGGCAAGCAATCCAGCATGGCGTTTCCAAATTTCTGGTGGAGTGAATGGCAAGCAATCCAGCATGGCGTTTCCAAATTTCTGGTGGAGTGAATGGCAAGCAATCCAGCATGGCGTTTCCAAATTTCTGGTGGAGTGAATGGCAAGCAATCCAGCATGGCGTTTCAAATTTCTGGTGGAGTGAATGGCAAGCAATCCAGCATGGCGTTTCCAAATTTCTGGTGGAGTGAAATGCAATCCAGCATATGTTTCCAAATTTCTGGTGGAGTGAATGGCAAGCAATCCAGCATGGCATTTTTAAATGTCCTGTTGTCTGTGTCTTTCAGCAACCACCTCTTGCTCTAGAGAAGTGCTCAGTGTGTTTCATGTAGACCCCCGTGTTGCAAACAAATTCGGGAGTTATTTTATCAGCGATCAGAATGATTTTCCGAGCTGTTGTACTTTCATAATCACCATATTGACTCTTTCAAATCCTTTACACTGTCCTCAGGTTGACACCCAAACACTTTCCAATATTTATATATACAAAAAGAGTATATAATGTAATCGATCCTTATCAGGCGTCTCAATTTGCATCATTCTCTCACCTTCAGTCTTTTCTACAAAAATTTTCCTGGCAGGTGTTCTCATGGGTTTTATTTTTAACCCCGGCACTACGACTACACGAATTTAAGCGTGCAACTAGATTCGCGATTGGGTCTCAGTGTTGTGCCGTTGATCTAACCACCACTTAAGTTTCTTTTCTCTTACTTCTCAACTCTAGAACTATTTATCACTATTTCCAGTAGTGATGGGGGTTTCCTTCCTAACATTTTATTCAAAGTGGTGTAGAATGCCAACATCTTGATTATCTCGCTATTCTCGATTCATATTAGATGTGATATCTATTTTAGCTGTTGTTGCTGTTGAAAGTCCAGAAATGATGTAGATTCTGTTATTTGGTATATTTCATCGTTTGTGTTTCTGTAGCGACGTTTGAAGAAATGTGATATTCGCTTAGGTCTCCAAGCTTCTTTCGCTCAGCCATCTTTAAACAATAATCTGAGAAAGCGGTTGTAGACAGCTGAGAGTTTAGATATACCTGAACGGATTTGATGCCATGTATGACATCCAATATGAAAGTCCTTATGACTAGGCTGTATAAGGACATGACTTCAGTTTTCAGTTTAGTGTTATGATTTGTATCAATTTGTCTCTAGGACAGCAAATTTTATGTTCAATTTCCTTAACTACTACACTAAATATATTATAAATGGTCCATACTCCGAAGTATTTGAAATGCTTAGTACTTACTAATCCCATATATATATATATATATATATATATATATATACACACAATACAGGATTGTTACAGATGGAATAAAATCCCGATAAACAAAAACAATATTAAGTGTTCAATACAGAGTACAGCTAATATTTATTAAAAATAACATGTATGTCACTACATCACTACAAAACGTGCAATGATTATAGTGACGTTATTGTAGAAAAATCACGTGGTAGAGATAAACACGTAGTTGTGGAGCAAGCTAAGTGAACAATAATCCAACCTTTAGAAAGAGAGCCATTTATGTTGCCATAGAGCATCTCATTGTGCTAAAGTGGGATAGTCCATTGCTTGGGCTGTGATTGGCTACTGGTACCTGAGTGGAGGTATTTCTATATAAATACCAGCTTGATTCATCTGTTAGTTTGCAGGGTTTGTATTAAGTTACAACCTGCTTTATTTTTGTCTGCCAGCTGGACGCTAGCTGGGACCTTTACACCGGTAAGTGCTGTTTATTATTGTTATTCTACAGTTATAAGATGCATGTTGTGCATATATATATAAACCTAGTGATCCAGAACCTAGGTCCAACAGCAAGCCCTCTGCTCAGGAGGATTTGAGGAGCGTGGAACCCCCTCTAAATTGCTGGTGTTCCCAGGTCCACACTAACCCTGGGTAGCAGCATCTGTTAGTGTCCCAGCTATTGGCAAATAGTTAAGCCCGAAACTGAGTAAAAATCATTATGAATGTTTAAAACTCAGTTATTCCTACCAGAAATACTTTGTAAAAAATTATTACCAGAAATAAATTTTTGAAGAAAAAAAAAAACAAAAAAAAATTATTACCCGCTCAATATTTTTGAGGAAAAGAATATTGCCAGAAATAGATTTTTGACAAAACACAGTATTACCAACAAAAAAAAAAAAAAAGTTGTTAGAAAATAAGTGGTCATTGAGATTGACATGCCGTAAAACACAACAAACCAAACCAAAATCAAGTGATTAATTTATAAAAAAATAAAATAAAGATTTTTACGAAAATAAAACCATCTAAGATATTAAATTTCCTCAAAGTTGGATTTTACACTGAGGTTGATATGCTATAAAACAAAACAACCAACCAACCAACCAACCAGAACCTACCTAGCAAGGTTTCATCTAAAGGACCTTCATGATATTACTGTAATACGCTGAAGATTAAGTAAAACCTTGGTAGTTTCTGGCTCACAAGGTTTTTCAGATTTTGCTCTATTTACTGTATTGGGCACTTTCACGTTTTTACTTAATTTACTCGGTCGGTGGTATTTCGATTGACAAGGCATTGTGTTTCTCTTAGATTATTATCGACCAACACATATGTCTTTAGTTTTTACTACCCGAGTATAGGAATTAAAACACACACACACACTTTTCTCTGTCTATCTCTATCTGTCTATCTCTATCTGTCTATCTCTATCTGTCTATCTCTATCTGTCTATCTCTATCTGTCTATCTCTATCTGTCTATCTCTATCTGTCTATATCTCTATCTGTCTATCTCTATCTGTCTATATCTCTATCTGTCTATATCTCTATCTGTCTATATCTCTATCTGTCTATATCTCTATCTGTCTATATCTCTATCTGTCTATATCTCTATCTGTCTATATCTCTATCTGTCTATATCTCTATCTGTCTATATCTCTATCTGTCTATATCTCTGTCTATCTATTCATCTATCATATCCCCTATCTGTCTATATCTCTATCTGTCTATATCTCATCCGTGTCTATATCTCTATCTGTCTGTCTATATCCCCATCCTGTCTATATCCCCATCTGTCTATATCCCCATCTGTCTATATCCCCATCTGTCCATCCCCATCTGTCCATATCCCATCTGTCTATATCTCCATCTGTCCATATCCCCATCCCCATCTGTCTATCCCCATCCTCCCATCCCCATCTCCATCCCTATCCCCCATCCCCATCTCTCTATCCCATCCTCATCCCTATCCTCCATCTCCATATCCCCATCTCTCATCCCCATCCCCATCTATATCTCTATCCATCCCCATCTATATCTCCCCATCTATCTGTCTATCTATCTATCTATCCATCCATCTATCCATCTCCATCTCTATCATCTCTATCTCCATCTCTATCTCTATCCCTGTCTATCTCTGTCTATCTATCTATCTCCATCTATCCATCTCTATCTCTCTATCTCTATCTCTATCTCTATCTATCTATATCTCTATCTCTATCTATCTATCTCTATATCTCTATCTCTATCTATCTATCTCTATATCTCTATCTCTATCTATCTATCTCTATATCTCTCTATCTATCTATCTATCTCTATCTCTATCTATCTCTCATATATATATATATATATATATATATATATTGAGCATGCTGCTGAGAAAAGTATCACTTTTATGTATTTACTGTATAAACAACGGAATTCTTTCTTCCAAACCGGGTAGTATTCTTGGACATGAAAAAAAAGAATAATTTTAAGAGCTTGGTGACCTTCATACGTATCTGTGACAACGGCGCCATGCTTTTCCGTATCAAACAATGATAAAGCGTGATTCTCTCATTCAAATTAGGCACACCGATTTCCCAATATACAGAGCTTCTTTTTTTCTCTATGGCCTGTCATAGTTAATTAAGAAACTTTCTTATAATCTGATATCACGCTACACCATAATGTCAGTCTCCAGCCTTATGGGAAATAACTTTAGATCCACACGCACAAAAGGAGACTTTCTTTACATTACATATTTAGAATAATCACGTATATTATGTAGTTTGTTGGGAAATCAATAGATGTTTCAGTGCGCCATTGTACAATTGAGAGAGGTGTTGATTTTGGTTCCTAAACTGACCAGTTAGAATGGATTGTAAGCATAATTCTGTACAGGTAACATGCGCATGGGATCTGTATGCATGTGCGTGGTGTTATGAACTCGAGGAGCCATTTTGTTTTTGGTGTTTTTTTTTTTGTTTTTTTTTTTTTGTTTTTTTTTCGTTTTGAAGTTCCAAAACATAAACGTATTTTTCAGATTACCTGAAAAAAAAAATAATAATATTGTTCAAGAGTAATATAATAATTTAATATGAAAACTCTATTATAGATGCTGGACTCTCCCGTCGTATTTTTTTTTTTTTTTTGTTTTTTTTTTTTGTTTTTTTTTTTTTTTTTTTTGTTGTTTTTTTTGACGTACGAAGGTCAGGCAACTCACTTCCTAGAAATCGACAGCCAACTACCTGGACATAAAATTTGATTATAATGGTGAAGGCTTTCTGCAGAACCACCGACATTTTTTGTAGAACCAGGTGTACTACGTACCACAAGGTCCCCAAACAACCATCCACCTCCTAAACAATTTGCTCCCCCACAACAAGTCTGTCCTGCTCTTTAGCAGATAGAGAGAGAGAGTTGTTTGTTACTTCTTCGAACTTTTCTACATTTACCGGGTTTTCTGTATTAGTATTTATATCTTTACAACAAAATCGAAGATCATTTCTTATTGTTAGTTTCTGATTTTTACTTGCCTAAAATAATATTTTCCAAATTTGCATATTCTATGTCATAAATTACTTAACCTCTGAGTATTTTAGGTTGAAATTCCAATGTATATTTTCATTTTTTTCTATTTATCTTTTCGTAAAAATAAACTTGTCATTTCTTTTATGTAAGACAATTTTCGTAATTTGTCTTGCATATTTTTTTTTGTTTACTTAACGTTTTATGTACATAAAAAGCGTGAATTTTTTGGGAGTTTCAAAAATAACTCGTGTATATTTTGTTCAAATACGTACAGTATATTGCGCCAAAGGTTATGGCCGTTGTGAGTAGATGTTGTTCAAAATATCCCATTGTCTATAAAATGTTTCTATGGCATACGTTTTACATGCCTTCTGACGACAACAGCCCATCTCCAAGCCGGAGATGCGCGAAGACTGACAACTTGCGACTCGTATCCAGCTGCTTCGGGTAAATTAAGATCAACAGTCTAGGTCGGTAGACTGTTATCGGAATGTAGGGGTCTATCCTAGCGGGCAACACCTTTTTTGGAATGTGCTTGTCAAACATACATACCCAAGACTTGTTAGAGAAATTGGGTACACGGAATCCTTGGGTGCCGTCTAAAGGTGAGCTGGCCGAGAGCTTCTGCGTGCTGGCCGTGTTAAAATTTTTCATGACGTTACAAAACACGATCTTCCCCAGAAATTGTAACTAAGATCTGTTCAGCAGAGTTGCAGCATACACTACTGGTGGGCTCTGTGGGTATTGAAAAAAACACAAATATGCCTGAGCAAGCGTCTGCAATAAGGATTGGCTAGGCGCCCTAGTAGACTGGTGTCCTCGAATAAGTATGGTCAGCTATACTTTACATTTACTCGTATTACTATGTAGCTTTTTATTATATATGATCTGAAGATTGTGTTTAGCAAGAAACATCCTTCAATGATCACTTGTGTAAGTGTGTGTGTGTGTATATATATATATATATATATATATATATATATACACACACACATATATATATATATATACACATATATATACATGTGTATATATATATATATATATATATATATATATATATATATATATATACATGTGTGTATATATATATATATATATACACACACATATATATATATATATACACACACATATATATATATATATATATATGTATATGAATGCAAATTATATAAACAGTATATTTTACCTCAACGACGCCTGTCATAATTCTCACGAAGTGCTATATGTGTATGTATTTATAATAAATCACAAAGAATGCTGTCAAATTAAATATGTAAAAAAAGTTATTCAAACCAATCAAACGTGACTAAAATGTTTTTACACTAAGAATGACCCTCCGCTTTAACGTGACACAACCGATATTTAAACTCTAAAATACAAAATCTTCGCAAATATGAAATCTATTTATTCTTGATAACGATTGAGGGAATTCTAAAGCTCCCAACCATAACAGTGTATAAACACGAACTTTTGTCATTTCCATCAAGATGCACTAATCGGTCAACAAGAAAATCACTAAAAAGAAAGATAACTCTTCCTTTGTCTTCAATAACAATTGTCCGAAAATTGCTATTTTTTAATGTAATGTCTTCGAACGACATACAGAAAAAAAATCACCATTATTAAAAATTCTTATTTATTGAACTCAGTGTTGGATCCATGCTTGCAAAATAATAAAAAGTGTATTTCTCAATACATATTACTTCGTAAACTTTATATATCAAACGCCATGACGCTCCAACTAATGGTTCCCCGTTGAATAAACGTTACAAAAATATATTGTAAAAATTCATGGAGCAGAACATTCAGTGAAGTCATCAATCAATGTCTGATAAGAATCAGACGTTTTCGAGAAATGAATGTTAAAATGGGAAAACTGTCCGGAGTTTATGTAAGACATTAAAAGCAATTTCAAAAGAAATTCTCCAAAATGTCATTTTAGATAGCAAATAGTTGTTATAAATAACCATATAAAACATTCTCCCATCCGAATGAGGATCGGTAGCATACATATGCATTTTATTTTATTTTTTATTTTACCTAATCCGAACTAGATTGAAATATATTAATGGACCGAAGATATTTTAATACACAGTGACGCGTTCCACGATTCGGATCGTCTGGCACACTATATATTATTGATTGCAATCATATGACATAGCTGACGGGTCGTTCGGTAACAGTTTGTATAAAACAGTTCCAAATGTCTTTCAAACTTTTTATATTGGTTTTACTAGAGATTGCTAACAGTGAACTCCCATTGTCTTGAACCGATATCAGAGGAGAGGGGAATCGTCTGTATCACAAAATAGAAAAATAAATAATACAGCGTTCGATTTGAAGAAGCATTTTGAGTCTCCTAGGAGCATATTTGCAGGGATTAATGTAAAATATTATATCGGTATGTTACTCAAATTCACCAGCCATGGTAAACATTGCAGAACCGTTGCATCAAAACGCTACAAGATCCCAAATAAGACAACGGTCATATTTGAAATATAATGGGTACTTTAACTGCCTCCAGTTACGCGTTGATATATATATATATATATATATATGATGTGTGTGTGTGCTATGCATAAAAGTTATCTTTGTTAATTTGGGATTAATTTCTTTATTGCTATATTTATATGAGGTAGCTATTGGAAGAATACCTACCGACTTTTCAAATAGTGTAAAAATACAAGAAATTCCTAAGATAAGTAAACCTCCACAGAATTGATTAGAGGCAGCCATAATCTTAGCCATATATGACATACGGATGACACTGTGCTATGGCTGACTCGGAAGGTAAATTGCAAAGCGCGTAGACAGTCACAAAGGCAATCGGGAAGAAAGAACCAAATACATGACGGAATGACTGGTTGCAAGAAAGACATACAATGAAGTAGTGGGTTTCGAATTAAATATATTTAATTATATGGCGAGTCTCGTAATAGACGATTTGACAAATCCGAAGGCCAATTAGAATAGTGAAAGAGGCTATCAATCAACTCGGCGAAAAAAAAGAAATGTGGACGAAAACACTTTGATCAATGTATGAAATTTTATATATATATATATATATATATATATATATATATAGATCCGACAGTATGAAGAAAAATATATACGGAAAAAACAAACAAAAATCCTTATATACAATTATGCTGTTTTAATGTCAACGTCGGACGTTTCGGTCTAATAAACCATCTTCAGAACATATTCATATTGTCATGTCGTATTGATAATGTTATGAATTTATGAATGTCCTAAACTATTATCTAATTAAGAAAGTATGAAATAAAAAATAGATATTACATAATAGCTGAATAAAAATATTAATATTTAAAAAGTACTAGTAAAAACGAAAACTGCTTTCGCTTACTTTGCAAAAATTGTCAAGAGTAATATGTCATCACCTCGTCACAATCGATTTCTTTGATAAATTCAGACACATCGTTAAGAAATGTTTGGATACAAATTTCTATGCTATAAGTACTGTTTTATATCAGATTAATTTAACTTTAAATTTTCTAATTTTACACAAATAACGTGTCAAAAATATATAAATTTATTTTAGGAAGAAGTTTAAAATCAAAATTTTGTTTGTTTACAAATTTCTTAAAATTTAAGAAAATGGCCGCCTTTAAGAAAATTAAACAAAAATCGAGCATATATTTGACATTCCAATCTATATAATTTCTATCTGAAAGACACCAGAATATGTTACTTACTGTAAGTAATAAATTTAATGCTTTAGCTTTCAATTAACATATTGAGACAAAACTTTCTTTTTGTTGGTTTGAGCTTTTTTTAATCGTGATATGCTGTTTTTTACGTGACCTAATGGAGGACCATATATATAT